CAATAAAATTATATTGTAGATAATAAATTACATTTTACTCGTGATGAAGCATTGAAAATAGTAAGTATAATACATGTGTTATATATAATACTGAAGTTTTTATACTTTCGTAGTTACCGCTTATTCCATTTACTAATAACATGTTTGAAAACATGCTCGAACGTATGAAAGCATCTATTCTTTTTATTGGGTAAGTACATCTACACAGTAATGATAAAGATGATTTATTTTATATATAAAGAGCTACTAAACCTCAATGGCCTACACCTCAGAAATCAATTGATTTACTTAAAGAACAAAATCCAAACGTAAATAACTTCTAATCAACAACTTAGTTTGTAAAAAAAAGAGTTGTATTTTTATTTCTAGTTTGAAATGGTATTGATTGATGGTCCACATCATCTTCATATGACACATACTAATGAAGTTCTTGTACCTATTGAAAAACATTTTAACAAATACTTAAAATAACCTTCTAAATCAATGCTAAGTAACAGTAAAATGTTACTCTTTTCAACATAATCTATTTCAGTAAAGTATTTATTTTAAAACTAAAGGTTATTTTTAAATAAAGATTATTTCTAACATATAATAATAAAAACTATCTTAATCTTTAAATAATTACTATATAAAAAAAAACAAGTATGACATCTACAATAAAATTCATTTGTCATATCAGAAATACAATTTTCAATATGCTCATATATCAATATCGATCTTTCCTCTTACCATACGTTCATTTATTCTCTCACCTGTCATCCAATGAATACCATATGGACATCCACCTGTGTTTCTAATGCATATCCTTTACTTTTCTTTTATGCATAGTCCTTCCAACTATCCATCTGTCATTACTCATAGGGAAATTTCTTTTTATCATTCATTGTCATCTTAGTTACATATTTTTTTAATATCAAATAGTAATCATTTCGTTTTTCGCCTTTTTTTTTATCTGTTTCTACGCAACTTTTTTTTTCTTCTTCTACTACTCATTTAACTAATATTGCACCTATGACATCGTCGGATGATGAAGATCCTCATGTACAAATAGCTAAATTACGATCAGCTAATAAACAAGCAGCTGAATATGGTTTAGCATTACTTAATGAAAAAAGTGTCTTAGAAGGTCAACATGAAGAATTAGAAAATGAACATGAACTACTTAAATTAGAATTAGAGCAATTAAAGACACAATTAAAAACACTTCAAGCTACTCAGCGTGAAGAAACATTAAAAGGTGAATCAAATGAAGAAACATTATTAAATGAAAAACAATCACGTGAAGAATATTTATTGAAGGAGATTACACGTAATGAGCATGAATTACGCTTATTAAAACAAGACAATGAACGTCTATATAATGAAAATGAAAAAATTCTTCATAAATCTCAAGAATTAACTGAACAAATTCAAGAATTTGATGAATTAAAAGTTAAATTAAAATATGATTTGAAAGAAAGTAAAGGACAAGAACAAAGACTTAGTGATGCCAATGCTGAATTGGAAGAAGATAATGTTGCATTACAACAACAAGTACAAAGGTTAAGAGATAATCTTATTGATTATGATGGATTAAAAGTTGAAAATAATCGATTACAAGAAAATGTAAGTTAAAATTATCTAGTAATCAACAAAGAATTTCTTTGTTTTTACCATAGATTGATGATTTACATCGAATGATGAAAGAACTTGAATCTTTAAAAGCAATAGCCGAATCTCAACTTATTGAATTACATAATAATCTTCGTGATGAACGAGAACAAAAACATATCTATAAGCAACAATTAGATCATCGTGTTCAACAAGTAGATTTTCAAATGATTGAAATTTCCTTTATACATATTTTTTTCTTTCTAGGATTCTCTTCGTAATTTAGATTCTATACGTATGACATTAAATGGTACACATACAAATTCTGATAATGATTATTTAAATAATTGTAACGATGATGATATAGAAGATGATTATACAAATCGTATAACATCTACAAATCATTATAGTGACATGTTAGAAGGTGATCAACATGATCAACAACCAATTGGTAATTTATTTAGGTAAAATGAAACCAAAATTTCGCTTTTTTTTTCTAAACTTTTTTTTCCTTCTAGTGAAATTCATGGCAATGAAATTCGTAAATTAGAAGTTGAATGTTTACAATTATCTCAAATAAAATCTTCACTCGATAATCAATTATTAACAATTAATGAAAAAACAAATATTCTCTCGCATAAAATTCAACATATTATGGAAATGATATTTCCAAATAATCATTCAATCATAAATACACCGAATACTGATAATACAACGAATCTTTTAATAAATTCACTTGAACTAGTTGAACAAATTGATCGTATTATTAATAAAAATCTTCATTTGTTTAATGGTGATCAAGATTTATTAAAAAAGAAAACGGAAGAGCAAGATAATATTATATTTAAATTAAAACAAGATCTTAACGTTATGATGAAACAATGTAATGATACACAAACAATATTTACAAAAACTCATGATAATCTAGTAAAACGAAATATTAAAAATTTATATTCTTCTTTAATATTTTCTTTTTTTCCAGATTAATTTAAGTGAAGAAATAGAAAATAATTATTCCTATATGTTTACTTCAATAGGTTTATCTATTCCATCAAATGAAATACAAATAAAAAAACGACAATTAACAAATACAAATAATAAAATAATTGATCCAACAATGAATGAATTAGTTTTAGATATTATTCAAGAACAAGTTAAACAATTTAAACAATCATTTGATAAAGTCTTAGATAATGTTAAACAAAAAGAACCATTATTAACAAATGAAATTATATTAAATGATGATTTATCTAATGATACAAAAGAATTACAAGATCAAGTAAGTTAGAAAATTCATTTTGTTTTCTTCCTCTTCATACGAAATTAATATTCTATGAAATCAATGAAATGAATAATCGTAAAAAATTATAATGTCTCTGATGAATAAATGACAAATCATTGAGTTTGAAATAATTGATTCGTATATTTTATAGTTAATAAACAAATCCTTGAGACAGTCGTTGTACTATCAGTTAGATCAGTGTATAGTTTGTATCAATATTAAATTGCTGTATAAAACAAGAAACAAGTTTCAGTAATTTCGAGAAGGCAGATAGATATATAAATCGATATCAAAAGCAATTGTGACTTCATAGTTTTAATTAATATGAACAAACAGGATATCCATTACTAACGGCGGCGCCAGCAATGTAGACTAGGGTGGACTGAGCCCACTCTTGGCGCCGCCAGTATCCATTATTCTTTCGAATTACTAAGCTAGACATTGATCGAATCCAGATTTCAAAATATTGCAACTCATATTCTTTAATTATTGTTGAGGATTGATCCAGAAATGTATTGAATATTCGGATCATTGATATAAATTAGTGAAAAAAATAAAAAGGTTTATATAGGTATAGTGGTTATCAAATTGTCTTGAGAAAATGTAATTTAACGAGTCCGAAGATTTTGAAATCGATGAATTTTACAATTGAAAGCAATATTTTCGAGCATCAAGGATTTTACTAGAATTTCAGTGCTATGTATATAAAAGTATGTTCTAATTATTTCTTATACAATGTTAACGGTAGTTATATAGCAATCAAATTATGATTGACTTTAAATCAGACATTAAAAATTGTAATTCTCTTTCTCGTAGAGAAGAGTCCAGTAAACATAAATTGTTTGATTGCTTGTCTGCCCACAAGGTCAAAAAAACATCAAAAATGGACTTTCTAGAAAAGACATTTCTCGAAGTATTTCGATGCGGAGACTTCGAATCCGAGGTTTGTTGAGTGCCCATGTGGAGAGGGGGGCAAAGGTGAAAAAACATCGAAAATCAATTTTCACGATTTTTATTTGTTTTTGCGATAAATGTGAAGAAAATGTATTTCTACGAGAGAGGGCTAAGCGAATGCTCGCACGGGCGTTGCTTGTTAATTAATCTTCTATATTTAATGAAATACGCCATAGTTGATATCAATTAAGAATAAATGACGTTCTTCGACTGTACTAGCATCTATGAAATTTTGACCTTGGGATAATTGAGTACGAAGTCAATTAGATCGAATTCCTAAGAATTATAACTAAAATAAAATTATTCGTTGCTCTTCACCTTGTTTAATCAATCTAAATTTTAGCTTTTCATCTAAAATTATTTTATTTAGATTATCAAATTACGTTCATTATTAACTACAAAACGTGAACAAATCGGTACATTACGTACAGTTCTTAAAAATAATAAACAAACAGCTGAAGTTGCATTAGCTAATTTAAAATCGAAATATGAAAATGAAAAATTAATTGTCACAGAAACTATGACAAAATTACGTAATGAATTAAAATCTTTAAAAGAAGATGCAGCAACATTTGCATCATTACGTGCTATGTTTGCTGCACGTTGTGATGAATATGTAACACAAATCGATGAATTACAAAGACAAGTTCATGCTGCTGAAGAAGAGAAGAAAACACTTAATTCATTACTTCGTATGGCTATTGAACAAAAACTTGCATTAACACAAAAACTTGAAGATATAGAAATGGATAATGAACGATCAAATAATCCAACAGCTCCGCTATCAAAACGAGCAATGAATTTAGCTAATACAAATTCATTATCTCTTACTTCAGGAATACCACTTGGTTTATTAACCGTCGCGTCGAATACAAATTCATTTGATAATCAAAATATTAATAATAATAATTCAATGCCAGAAATACGACGTGGAAGATTTATTCCACCACGTGTAAGTTTTACAATCAATAGATAAATACGTACAAGTTTAGACGGCGGAGCAAATATATATTCATAATCATAGACTAAATTTATGAGCTGAAGCTCCGCCGTCTTTGATATCATAATCTAATTATTATTTTTCTCGATATTATAAACTATTTTAGATGATGCAAGCTTTTGCAGCAAGTAGAAATCAGCAAATACAGAACAAACGATAGAGAGATATTCAGTATGAAAATGTTTGTGCTCATACCTAATCTTGCTTAATTAATACTGAATGAATTATGTTTTGTTTTTCGTTGTTGAAAACTATTCCTTTCATTGCTGCATGAATTATATCTGCTAAAATAAGCTTCTCGTTTTAAAAAAAGATTATACTATTTTAGGTTCGTCAACAAAATAGATCATCTCCAACATCGAAATAAAATCATAATATAAACAATACAGGACTTCCTTTTTTTTTCGTTTCATGATAAATTTTTATATGTATATATTACTTATTGGTTATCATTTCGAAGTGTGCTTGTTACATTCCATATCAAATCTTATTTATCCAAAGATCAGATTTTTTTTCGTTTGTGTGCATGCATTTTTTTCTCTCTCTCGATTTGTTGCTTGTTTCTCTATCATTTTTTTGTTATATATGCATTTTTGCATGTATATATATATTTTAGTACAGATATTAAAAAAAAACTTTAATCTTATTGAATATATAATTAAGAGAGATTAGAAAATACATCTGTCGCACTTGAAAAAAATAACAACAACTAATGAAGTGTATACCTTCAGAGAAAGCGGAAATACTTTTACGTCTTTGGATTTCATCGGAAATGATGAGAGAAAATAAATTCGAATAAGAAGCTTATTTAATGAGGATAAGTGATGATTTTCTAGCAATCTATTTCACATATATTAATCTTTAAAGGAAGTTTTGGGCATACTCAATCAGATATATGCATATTTCCTATTTAATAATAGAATCATTCATTCCAAGTGATCACATTTATCAGAATTGTATTTAATTCATAAAGTTTCAATACTTATGTAATTAATCTTATATTCAAATTGTTATAATCTTTTCTCTTCTCAGCAGGCTATTCAAGATATAGATCAGCAAACAATCTGTGAAAAGCTATAGGCTAAAAATCACTCGAGCAAAATTGAAAAGTAACTGTTGCCCACTGAGTGACCAACTGTCATAGTGCTATTCGTTGTCGTTATCAGACGTCGAAGGAAACATACTTGATTGAACTCGTTATCGTATGTCTTCATATTCTTTGTTTCAAATTTCGTGTGTGTGTGTGTGTATAATGATGACAGATGGTCACGTGTATACTTACTTTTATGTTTCTCTCACATTCACTTTACTGTTCATTTAACATAAAAGATTGAAATCGACTTCCTCCCTTTCTCAGTTCACAAGGCGCTCTGTCGCGTGTCGCCATTCATTGATTGAACAAAAACAAGCGGATGATGAGAGAAAATATCCCAGCTGTTATTGGATATATCTTAGTTTAATTGCTCTAATATAATCTGATGATCATTTAGAAAAAAAGTACACCGGAATATCGCCTGAGGAGTCTTCGATATACTATTATCGATGTAAAACATAAAAACATATGGCATTTTTTTTTTCTCTGGCAGATGTCGAACAAAGAGAGAGAGAGATAGAGTGAGAGAAGTCATACCGTGCTGAGCATTCATTAATAGCATTTGTCAACTCTCGTTTTTTTTCTTCTCTTTCTATTCTGTTAATTGAACGACGCGTGCTATCAAGAAAAAAATATAGTCGAGTCTGTCCTATCATATATATATAATTCTTCGTGAATGAACATGAGCAAAAAAGAAGAAAAAATCGATAATAAAAAGAAAAAAACTTTCCAACGATGGTATTGGCTAGAAAAAAAACGAAGAAAAAGAGAGAAGAAAAACCGCAACAACATCATTACTAGTGGAAGTGTTGTTCGATCAACACCACCACTATGGTGGTCGTCGACAAGTTTAAAATGCCATCTATTTAGTCAACATACATTCAATAAAACTTGTATTGAAAGTATATGGAAATGGTCAACAACAACAACAAATTCTTCAACAATTTTAATTGATAATAATAAACAAATTTTATTTCATCCAAGAATAAGTTCGTCAACACAAGTTATTCTTGCTGATAGACCATTACCATGTCATGGAAAACATTATTGGGAAATCTATATGCCAGCTGTTTATGGAACATCTATTATGTTTGGTATTGCAAGTAATTATATTAAAAATTTTAAAATTTCTATAAATAAATTAAATCATTTTTTTTAATTTTAGCAAATAAACAAAATTTAATTTCAACAGATTTTATTGATTTAATTGGGAGTGATCAACATGGGTGGGCTCTATCACATCATGGTTTATTATGGCATAATGGAATTTCACGTTCATATTTAGCGAAACCATTAGAATTACTTCAACCAGTTTTAATTGGATTAGAGTTTGATGCTGATGCTCGAACACTTTCCTATAGAATTAATAATCAATCAATGGGTATTGCTTTTCATTCAATTCCTAAAAATATTCCAATTTATCCCGCTGTATCATCAACAAGTGCACAAAGTACAATGATTCTTAAACATTGTTGCCATATATGTTCATCATTACGTGAAATTTGTTTAAAAATTCTTAGATCAATTAAATTAACCAATAACATTCCTTGTAATTTATTACCACGTCATCTTAATTCTTTTATTTTTTCTTCATAACAGTGAAAAAATACTTTTTTTTTCTTCTTTTTTTTCTTCTAAAGGCCGAGATCGAGAATGTGCAATGTACAAAAAAATTATATAATCTTACACTTCTTTGGAGTTTTAATTCTATTAAATATTCCAAGTAGTATTTATGTTCATAGTTTAAATATGTTTACATTCCGTAATAATTTATTAAATTTCCATTTTTTTTTGTCTTCAAAACGAGTGCCATCTAGTCATATGAGGTGTTCATGCACAACGTTCATTTCTGTATAAACTGTCTTGTTTTTTTTTCTGTTCATGTTTCGCAAAAAATAAAATGATCTAATATGTCATATTAATTTGTTTTCATTAGTTATTTAAATTTATATGATTATCTTAAATACTATAATTTAAAAATTTCATGAAACCTTCTATGCATTTAGACCGAGTAAAATACAAATGAAAAGAAAAATGTTGATGAAACCATATAGTATACACAATAATTTAACTGTCTTGTCATACATGACATTTTCAGTGATTCTAACGTACTTATTTTTCATTCGCCCTTTGTCTTACAGCACAAAATGACGAAGAGAATAACAAAATAGTTCGTAATTCTTTTCTCTATTAACAGAATAAACTTTTAATGTAGAAGAGAAAGAGAAAGTTTAGATTTCAATCTATATTCCTACCAGTAAATAATTCGAAAAAACATGATGATAGGAGTGTATATAAAAAAAAATATTGCATAAGTAAAGTGCGTCAATCGTAAACATGAAAAATGAATTAAGAAAATGAAATTCGATGCTTAAGTATGTTGGGTGGATTGTTTAGTTTAGAGAGAAAAAAGAAAAACGTTTGTTTTATTTTGATTTTATATTTAAACGTTGAAAAAAAAAGAAAAGCAACTTATTTACTTGAAAAACATTTTGTTGATTTGCAAGTAGGCGATTTAAGAGATTTTTTTCTGTTTTCTTATTGTCGTGCATCAACAGAAACAGCTTTCACTTTCATTTCAAACAAGCTACTAGATGCGTGGTCCAAAACAACGAAAAGTTGTTACACCGATTAAAGAACAGGTTTGTATATACTAGGATTTATTTTTCTATATATTCGAATATTTCCTTTTTATATAGAATCCCAGTACGGTTGTACAACAACACGTAGAGCAAAATATACATGCAAATAATGTACTTGTTGCTGAATACGATGTAATTAATAAAGAAAGACCTATTTCATGTTGGAAAAAGGATTTACTTATTCCACGATGGCTCTTAATGACTTTAGCTACATTAGCTATCGTTTTTTTAACTGCATTTATTATTTTTGCTACAATTGTTACACTCCAAAAACAAGGAAATGGCGGTGCATGTAAATCCAATAGTGATTGTCGTCAAGACGTAGGTCTAATATGTAATAATTATCGTTGTGGATGTGCTTATTCACATTTTTGGAGTACTACATATGATGTATGTGAACGACGACGAATGGTTAATCGAACATGTGTAAATGATTCGGAATGTGATATATTAGCAAATCTACAATGTTTCAATGTTACACTTAAGTAAAATCTATCATAAGACGAAAATTTATATTTTATATCATTTATTCGTTTTTTCTTCTCCTAGTAATGGTGATATACAATTGCAGTGTCAATGTAAAGGTGGATTATCATGGAATGGTATTGCTGTACGTATATAAAATTTTAAAAATTTAATAATATATTATATTGTTACCTTATTTTAGTGTTCTTATCAAACTTTATACAATTCAAGTTGTATTAATAGTGCCAATTGTGATACTACACGGTTTTTATATTGCGATTTTTCTGCAGGAACACCAGGCAGGTGTAATTGTAATGCATCAATGTTCTGGAATGCAAATCTAATTTCGGGTACATGTGAATACAAACGAACAGTTAATCAATATTGCTATCCATATGATGATAGTTGGTGCGATAATACAGCTCCTCTTGGTCAAGGTCTTACTTGCGCTGCATATTCAAATCCTTATGGAAGTGAATATGGTGAGTAAAATAATATTGCAAATTTCTTTATATATAATTCTTTAATTTAGGTGTTTGTCAATGTGGTATCTATAAATTTTATAATGGTACAGCTTCATTGGGTAATGGATATTGTGAACCATTACGTGATTATAATCATTCTTGTTCATCAACATCAAATTGTGATTTTCGAAAAGGTTTAATCTGTTCAAATAATCTTTGTACATGTTTATCAACTCAAAATTATGATTCAACAATTGTTGATACGGGAGGTGTCTTTGGAGCTTGTACAGCAGCAGCAACTTATCTTGATAACTGTACATCTATCATTAAATGTAGTGCATCAGCAGGTCTTTATTGTGATTATACACATTATGCATCAACAAATATAACTGGTATTTGTAATTGTAACAGTTCAACATCATTTTGGGATGGTCTTGAATGTGCAAGTAAATTAACAATTGGTGGTGAATGTACAACAAGCACAGAATGTAATGCAGGTGATGGTCTATTTTGCAGTAATTATACACAATCTTTAGGAACATGTGATTGTGATAAAAATCATTTTTGGAATTATACTTGTATAATTAAACAATGGTATAATACAACTTGTCCATCATCATATGTTTGTGATGATAATCGTGGTTTATTTTGTCAACCTACTGGTGGTTCTTTTTTCTTAAAATGTGATTGTTTTAATTCGAGTTTTATATGGGATTCATTATATGTTACAAATCGATCACACATATGTGTACTCAAAATGGGTTATGGTGCATCAACATGTTTCGGTGATCTTGAATGTCAAGATCAAAATTATTTAAAATGTTATAATGGTACATGTTTATGTACATATATTGATTATTTTAATGGTATTCTTTGTACACCAAAACTAAATTTTACAGATCCTTGTCAAAATACTACAATGTGCCGAGATTTTGCTCCAGTTAATTTAGTTTGTCGACCTGGGCCGACGGCATCACATGCATTGCAGTGTTTATGTAATATAACTTCATATTGGTCCGATTGTTTACAAGCATGTATTGTTTCTAAATATGTAAGATTTTTTTATTTTTATTTCGATTATTTTTTTTATTTATATATATATATATATCATTATAGCGTCATCAAGCATGCACACTTACATCGAATTGTTCTAGTAACGAATGTGATGTAACAGCTAATTTACAATGTATTAATGATACGGTTTCAAATCAGACTGTATCTGGTTGGTGGTATGTATTTTGGAGATTTTGTTTTTTGAATCGAATATATATTTTGTAAAAATATTTCTTTAGTAATTGTACTACTTTACAATGGTGGAATGGAACATATTGTCGAAATAAAGGAACTCCATCTTGGGGATCTAATTCAAGTGATCTATGTAATGCAACATATCAATGCGCAGATTACAATTTAGTATCTTGTCCACTTGGTTCAAGTTCAGTTACATCCGTTGCAACATGTGAATGTGCTACAACTAAATATTGGGTTTGTCAATTAAATGTTTTTTTGTTAAATTAGGTGTATTTTTTCATTCAATATTTTTAGAATGGAATTACATGTATAGATCGAGTTCATAATGGGGACGCTTGTATAGCATGGACTTCGTATCCGGTAAATACTACGACGTGTTTAAGTGCAGCAGGGGCGGGGTTGCTATGTATTATGGGCACGAATTTGGGGAATGGGACATATTCAGGGACGTGCGCTTGTCCTACAGGGACAGCGTGGAATTCAACATTTTTTATATGTGCTTCACCGCCTCTCCTAGGTGGATAATGATATAGCACAAGTTTTCATGTATTTATTTACGTTTTTCTTTTCAAATGAAATCAATGAAACTTTACAGAATTACATGCGCATTTTGTTTTGATATGAGTGTGTTATTTTTATAAATATTTTTGCGTGTTGAAGAATCTGAAAGACTTTTTCAAATAAATTGTCGTGCTTATACATAAAGTTCAACAGAGTTTCTTTTTTTTGTTCTAAAAATTCAACATAATATTGAATTAATACATCATTTTAAAATATATAGCCAAAAATTAAACAATAATTTGCAAATTTCATATTGTGACGTAACATGTTTATTATCTATAATGGTAAAATATATCGGAACGTATTTCATGCACAATTTTCTAATGCAAAAGATGTTATGATTTCTATCTATGACAATGTTGTTATTATTGTCAAATAATTCTCTGTAAGATTCTACTATCTAATTGTACATAAAAGTATCACAGTGGCGCATTTAGAGGAGGGCGATCGCCCCTCCCTTAAGAATTTTTTTTCAGCAAAGATAGGTTTGCACTACTTCGATTGAACTCAAAAAGAGTTTTGAGCCGAAATCGCTCCCCCTACTCAGGTATCGCCACTCCCTTCCAAAATCCTAGAACCGTCACTGAAGTATCACTAATCTATATATTTTTTGAATGTTCAAACGTTGAATAAAACGAACACATATCAGATGCTCAATAAACGATGATAAGTGGGTTTCATATAATTATTTTCATTATATACAGTATTGTTTTAGATACGTTACACTGCCCTCTACTTTTCTGAAATCCGATTAGTTTAAATAATTTACGAGTTTTTTTTAAATAAATAGAATACGAATTCTAATGATTTGACAAATAGGGAAAAACGGATGATTAATGAAAATAAACATATTTTCCTCTAGTGTCATTGATAATTAATTAGTATGATATTTTCATATATACGTAATTTCTATTGTAAAACATTTTTTATTTTAGAACAATGACAACTAATGGATATCAAATAATAACTTGGTTAAAAGCATTTAAAACTATTTGGTTACCAGAAAATATTCCCGGCGATGTTCAATTACGTAATTCAGTAGTAACTAAAATTCTTGAACTTGAAGAGTTAATATTTGGTAAATTTATTTCTTTTATTATTGAACAATAAAATAAATACTTACGTATGTTTGTATAGAAAATACTGAAGATGAAGAAGAATATCATCGTGCGAAATTACTTAATAATCATAGCTCAAGTGATGATGATAATGAACGAATTAATTTTATTTCGCCACCATCTCACGAACAAACACTAGAAAGTACATTACTAACACCACCAGATAATCAGCATCAATTAGATAATAAAAATGACGAAGAACAATCGCGAAAAATTCTATTAGAACAGAGTGATGATGACGAACATGAAGAAACATTATCTGATGAAGATGATGTAAATGTGTATCGACCATCTATTCGTTTAAAACGTACTTTACAAACTGATACTGAACAACATGACAAAACGTTAGTTGATGAAGATGTAAATAAATATCGACCATCTATTCGTTTAAAACGTATTTCACAAGCTGAAGCTGAACGTTTTATACCATCATCATGGAAAAATAGTAAATCATTAACAAAATTTGTTACTCTCTTTTACTTATATAGTTTATCTATTTAGGTAATTCGAAGATATCTTCTTCGGACGATGATTCTTCGAGTAGTCAAAAGAATCGTCAAGAAAAACAATCAAATGTATCTCAAAATAATGGTAATAGTAAGTGTTAAGATCATACGAACGATTATTTTAATATTCGATTTTATTCTTTAGTTATCAATACATCTCAAATAGTACTTCAGTCAAACAGTAAGCCTTCATCTAATCATGATATTGATGAAATCTTGTCCGATGATGAGAAGATCAGCAAACTAAGATTAAGAAAATCTACTGATGATGATCAAGCTAGTATTTCATCAAAAAAATCTAATAATAATGAAACATCAACAATAAGTTCAACATCTGATGAAGATTTTACTATTAAATTACGTGAAAGAAAATCTTCAACAAATAAAAAAGAAAAATCTTCTAGTAAATTACGTAAAAATCGAAAGAATTCTCATAAAAAGAACGAAATTGTTATAAATTATAATCCATCAACAAAATCAAATGATGGATTATTAAATGATTCATCGTCTAGTGCTGAAGAAATACATTCAATACATGAAGATCAAGTGGAAAAAGTTGTTAAAGAAAATAAAGTTACTACTTCCTCATCAATAACACTGAATGTGCCTCAAGAGAAACCAATGGAAACAAATGATAATCATGTTGTAGAAAATGGATCAAATAATGGAAATAATTCATCACCATCATCACCCACAGCTGTAGATATTACTGATGATAAGTAAATATTTATTCGACTCACTTTTAAATATGATCTATTCAAACATACATATTTGTTCTTAATTTAGGCCACCAGTTACTGTTCTATCATATGGACATTTACTTGCTCACTCAAATTCATCATCATCATCTTCATTAGATTCCGATAATGCTGATGTTAATAGTAAATTATCTTCAGATAAAAAAAAACAGACAAACAATTCCAAACGTTCAGTACCATCATCACCAAATTCTGATATAGCACCAGTCAAGAAGAAATCAAGAAGTGTGATAAAACAACGAGCTTATCTTTCCCTAACATCATCTGATGATGATAGTGAAAATAAATCGGTATGATAGATTTCTATTTATTTCAATGCAATTTTTCCAATAGCAAGATTCATTATTATATACTATAAAAGCATAGAGGATATCAGTGATCATTTAGATAATTTTAATGTAAAATCGAATAAATGTCGAATGAAGAAAAGCTCTAATAAGGATCGTATTTGTAATACATTTCAGAAAATCTCTTTCTAATTAAATCGGAATCTATCCGAACAAGCTCTCACCTACAGTTACTGCCAAAATGTATACATCCTTATGTGCTTTTCAATTGTTAGTGAGCAAAGAAACTGTGTATAGATCTATTTGACATATTGATTTTTCTGTTTTATAGGCTAAGAATGGATCTTCTGCTTCACAAAAACAATCAACAAAACGACTTCGTATTCAGCGATCATCAGCATCATCATCCGAAGAATCAAAGGATAGTAATAAAAATTCTAGGCAACGACGTCGAAAATCAACTACTACTAATGAAAGTTCAAAGGAAGCAAAACGTAAAACAAACAAGAAAAAACCTTCGATATCATCGACAGATACGAGTGATGGTAATAGTAGTGATATTCAACCTAAAACAAAGAAATCTAAATCTAATAAAGATAATAATGAAGAAACAACAGATGATGAAGATATTTCTCCATCAAAAGGAAAACATGGTCGAAAAAATATTCGTAAAATTATCGATGATAAAGAATTAGATATTCAAACAAAAGATGCTATTGAAGCCGAACAAGAACGTCGACAACGTATTGCCGATAAACAAAAAGCATATAATGATACTTTACTTGAACAATCATCTTTTGTATTAAATAATAGTAATGATGAATTAAATCAATCTCAACAACGTTTAATTCTCGAAAAAGATAAAATAACAAATGAACCATTAATTGAAGTCGTACCTGAATTAGTTGTTCAACTTAAACCACATCAATGTGAGGGAGTAAGATTTTTATGGAATAATGTTTTTGAATCAATTGAAGCAATTCAAAAGAAGAAACTTAATGGAAATGGTTGTATTTTAGCACATTGTATGGGTTTGGGAAAAACATTACAAATTATTAGTTTTCTTCATACAGTTTTTAATTATGATAAAATAACTAAAGTTAAAACATGTCTTGTTCTATGTCCAATAAATGCAGGTTAGATTAGAGATTTTTTTTTAGAAAATAAGACAAAAAAAATTGAATTTTATAGCTCTTAATTGGACAAATGAATTTGAATATTGGTTAAAAGATATTGAACCACCTATTGATCATTATCAATTGACAACAATTAAACGAAATTTACGTGTTAGTCATTTAAATTATTGGTATGAAAATGGTGGAGTTGCTGTTATGGGTTATGAAATGTACAAAAGATTAGCAACTGGTCTTGGAATAAAAAATAAAAAACATAAAACCGAAGTGTATAAATGTCTTGTTGATCCAGGCCCAGATATTGTTGGTAAGTTTCTTAACATGGAAATACGAATTGATATATACTATTTGTTTGAGTTAGATTAGGCAATGATGTATAGTACATCTTTAGCGTAGTAGCGAAAGAGATTACTAAACTACAGTTAGTTTGACAGAAAAAATAAAATTTTTGATGAACCTTTATAGACGTTTACAATCAGGTTATTCTTGAGAATAAAACGTATTCTTTTATGAATTTATTAAGTACTTCATCGAGTCACGATAACTAACCTTATGTAGTAGAGAAAAGAACAGTAAACTCAAATTGTCTGATTGCTTGACTGTCTGCAGGGTCAAAAAAACATCGAAAACGAATTTTCTAAAAAAGACAGTTCTCGAGGTATCTCGATGCGGGAAAGTCAAATGTGCCCCTCATATGCTCAGGCTACTGATAGAAACCGAGTTTCTGGGTAATGCATTTATATGGGTATTCAAATGTTCCGGTGCTTGTAGTACACAGTGTAGCGATTATAAACTGTTGGCTTTCGTGCGTATAAGGTTACTAATACTTCACTTATTCGTTAAAGATTAGTTCGACAAGCCACTGATGCCGACGGCTCAAATATGTTTTGATCTGCGTTTACCATTGACTAGGATTCGAGTATATGCTAAAAGTCAGGAATTACAAAGGAGAGCAAGGTTTTCAGTTGTTTTTCCAGAAAGTGTGAAGAGGATGTATTTCTACGAGAAAGAGCTAAGCTAGTCTTCGAACGAGCGTTACTTGTAATATAATCAATCGTAATTTTCATAGATAACTTTTCTTTTAAATAAAATAATCTATCTATTTTTCTATTTAGTTGCTGATGAAGGACATATTTTGAAGAATGCTCAAACTGCACTAGCTAAATGTTTGTCAAAAATCAAAACACCTCGTCGTATTGTTTTAACTGGCACACCATTACAAAACAATTTAATTGAATAGTAAATTACTAATAAAAAGAATTTTCTTTTTAATTTTCTTATTTCTTTCTTAGTTATTGTATGGTTTCATTTATAAAACCAAGTTTACTTGGTACTCAACAAGAATATATCAATCGTTTCGTTAATCCAATTCAAAATGGTCAACATCGTGATTCAAATGAAGATGATGTTCGTTTAATGAAACGTCGTGCATGTGTTTTACATGGACTTTTAACTGGTTTTGTTGATCGAAAAGATTATTCATTATTGAAAGAATATTTACCACCAAAATTTGAATATATAATTAATATTCGATTAAGTGATTTACAATCACAATTATATGAAACATATTTAAAAAAACAAGTTAATCAAGAACAACGTTCATCCACATTAAAAAAAGATTTTAAATCAGCACAATTATTTGCTGATTATCAATTTTTACAAAAGATTTGGACGTAAGGAATAAATATATATGATTTAATAAATTTTAATTTTATTTTATTTCAGACATCCATTTTTACTTTATCCACATTTTATTGATCGTTGGAAAAAACGATTAAATGAAGAAGATGATAGTCTAATTGATGATAATGAAATCGAAGCTATATTTAGTGATGTTGATGAAGAAAATATCGAAGGAAATAAAAAAAAAGATCTTAAAGTAAGTTCAGATTTGATCTTAACTTCCAAGAAAAATCGAGATCATACTATTGACCTGTAATTTACAGTAGGAAGTTTTAAACAGCAGTAGTTTATGATTGCGTGTACGATTCACTTTGAAGATACATTACAGATATAATTCATACTTTCTGCTATCTATGTCAGAAATATTCCTATTGCTATTTCTCAACAATCTGTAATTATGAGTGCTTATAAAGATTCCCCCTAATAACGCCGAAAGCTGAAAAATGTCGAACAATATAAATGTCGAATAATAGAAATATCGGGGTGTTGGTATGGGTAAGGATGCCGGTATCGGAGTAGGGTTAATGTAGTAACCACGGCCACACTCACATACGCACTCACATCCTCAAGATGCTTTTTCTTTAATTGAGAAGGTTTTTTCGATCAAATTAGGTTTAACCCTTATAAACAAGCCATAGGAAATAAAAGTTTACATTAATTGTATACTACGGCAAAGAAAATAAAAAGATTCTAAATCAGTTCTGTCATCGTTCTAAGATTGATTGAATCTCATAAGATTTTTATGATACTTCTATTACTTTTGAATTACAATGTAAAGAGTCAATATTAGTATTTGAATCAAAATGGCTTGACGAAAACTTTACTATTTTTTATTTTTATATCTAAATAACAAAAATAGATAATTCATTGTAACTACTAAATTCTATATAATTAAGCGTGAGTACAAAATATCAATATCAATTCGATTACAATCTTTGATTATTCATTACTTACTTATTAAAAGTAGTCGTTTTTATGAGAAACATATAGATAGAGAATTATAATCATTTTTAACAATGATTATCATTAAAACTAGCATGAATTATTAGTTAACTTCATCTACTGAATTATCTAAAAAAAAATAATAAAGATATATTAATTTTATATTTTTAGTTGAAAGTGGAAAGTAGTTATAGTGGTTTTTTAATTGATAATATTAACAATGACGTGCCAAACATGGAATCAGATAAACCAACTACTTCCAATTCACCTACAACAATACTTGATTCTGATTCAGTGGATGATATGGATGCTATTCCGAAAGAAAAAGAATCCGATTCAAAATCTAGCAAAAGCGATGATGATGACGATGTTGAAATTATAAAAACTTATCCAACACGAAGCCGAACAACAGTCAGTGAACAAAAAAAAGTTTCAACAGCAAATATATATGATACTGAAAATGATCAAGTTCCAGTCGAAGATTTAATGCATACAAATAATTTAGATAATATTCCCGAGGAATCACCATGGTTAGATGAAATGCGTGAACAATTTTGGTTTCCATTTTTAGATAGTATCTCCGAAGAACATCGATTTGATCTTGAATTAAGTGGAAAATTTTTAATTTTAAAATTTATTCTTGATAAATGTTTTGAAATTGGTGACAAAGTTCTTCTATTTTCACGTAGTTTATATACATTAAATTATATTGAAAAATTTCTTAAACATTTACAAATTGAAAATGAAAAAGAATACCAAAAACAATGTGAATCACGACGACAATTACGTGAACTTCTTTCAACAAATGAAACCAATGATAATGTTACTAATGCACATATACCTGAACCAATAGAATGGATACGTGATCACGATTATTTTCGAATGGATGGTCAAACAGATGTTACAGTAAGGAAACGTTATGCGAAATCGTTTAATAATTTATCAAATTCACGTGCTCGATTATTTCTTATATCAACATTAGCGGGTGGAATTGGAATTAATTTAACCGGTAGTAATCGAGTTATTGTTTTTGATGCAAGTTGGAATCCAAGGTAAGCTTAAAAGATATACAGTGCTTCGTTTTTCGGATGAGCGAATCGAAATTTAGGGTGGGTAACGCCCACCCGGACCATCTCAGAATATACAGCTACTGTATTTTTTGGGGTGGGCGGCGCCCATCCGCTCGATAAAACTGAAAATATGATAAAAAACCTTCCTTTTTTCTCTTTAGTCATGATACACAAGCAATATTTCGTTCATATCGTTTTGGTCAAAAGAAACCAGTGTATATCTATCGATTTTTAGCACATGGTACAATGGAAGAAAAGATTTATCAACGACAAGTTGTTAAGCAATCTATATCGCAACGGTAATATTTAGTTTTTATTTAAAAAGAAAAAGAATAGAACTAAACAATATTTGTTTATTCTAGTGTTATTGATGATCATCAATTAGATCGTCATTTTACTCAGAACGATATAAAGGAATTGTATAATTTTAAGCCCGAAAAATTACCTGAACCTCGATCCGCATCAACACTTTTAACAGAATTAGAAACTGAACTCAATTATCCAATACCGAAAGATCATCTTTTATTTGATCTTTTATGTGAACATAATCGTTGGATACAATCATATCATTCACATGATTCTTTATTAGAAAATAAACTTGATGAAGGTTTGACTGTGGAAGAACGACGTAAAGGTAAAACAAATTCTTCTGTTTTTGTTTAATTTTTACTTATGTCATTTATGTTAATATAGCTCTTGAAGAATATGAAAATTTAAAACGTTTACCTGATCCACGTGTAATTGCTCAACAACGTTTTCAGCAACAACAACAATTAAATGCTTTTATTGCACAACAACAACGATTAGCTTCAGCTTCAGCACACGCAACAAACGTTGACCAACAAAATTTTAATCGACTACTTGAAGGCATTCATCAATCATTACAAGCTGCTAATGGACAAAATCTAAATTATAATCAGTTATTACAATTTGTAAATAATGGAGTCAATGGTTTAGGAACAGTAGCCAATGGCAGAACCAATAATACAACACAAGCAACTAATATACGTCCACAAAAATCTACAAGTAATGATCATTGTTTTTATGAGATTCTATTCTAAAATTACCCTTAAAAATTGCTAATAGAGTAAAGATTAGTATTTATAAAATTTCAATGATGATAGAATATGTTTTAATAATTAAAATATTTTATTCTTTTTTTTGTAGCTGGTACAGTTCCTATTTTACCACGACCACCGGCTATCAATATGAGAAATAACGATATTATTCTTGTTGATAGTGATGGAGAAACGGACAATAACAATACAAATACAATATCGAAATAACACTTTTTTTTTCGTAATTGTTTTAATCGATATTATATTAAAAATTGTTCATAAGAAAAAAAAAACAAGATTTGTCAGATGTGATGCATATAGTTTATTTTTTCTTGAATATTTCAATTTATTGTTGTTATTTCTTTCATGGTTATGTAGAAAATTGCATACTCACGTTTTCAAGTTGTTCTTTATTTCTTGGGTTTTTTTGTTTGTTTATTGCATCAAAGCATGCTTATGAAAATATATAAAAAATGGCTTTGAAAGAATATTGTTCATTGATTATTATTTGAATTAATTCACTTTAAATATTATAAAAATAATCATTCAACAAAGTATTCATCGCACATCAGTAGATATAAATTTCTACTCTGTATTTCCTTTTATTGTCAACACATGATCAAGATGGCCAGAGGGAAAACTTGAAATCAAAAATTTTCTCTCGCAAACTCAGAGAGGCTAATTTTTTCAAATTAGTGACTATGATGTTAAAAGGTATATCACGAGCTAAGATGCACAGAACGCAAAGCTAAAGTGAAATTTTTTCTTTTTGATTTTCATACATCATTTGATAGAGAATTTCAATGCGGTCAAGCATATGTGTGCCCTGCATTTTCTTAAACCTTTTTTGTGGTCTTTAAAGATGACGAATCAGAAAAACTAAGTTAAAAAGTTCTATCCCGTGACATATCTAAAAAAAAGAGGAATCGAAGAAAAGTTGTCAAATTATCTGTTTTCGATACCTTCCTGGTTTTCTCTACATTCCAACAGGAAAAACGTCATGAGAAAATTTCAGATGCATATATACTCGACCGCCTTGATATTCTCTATCGAAATGTCTATGATATATAAAAAAACAATTATTTTCACTGCATTTTTGCTTTGCGTGTATCTTAAATACCGTAATGAATTTATAGAAATGCAATGTATAAAGTACTACTCTTAAAGTCTATGAATAAAAGGGGTATATAAAATGCTTGATTAGGAAAATAAACCCTAAAAAAAGGTTTATGATTATATGCGTAAACAAAAATGAGGATTTATTATTCTAGTCTTTTTTTTACAGTGTATGCCGATTAAGAAATTCTATTCAACAAGAAATAAGTGTGAATCACAGGATTCGATTTTATTGATGATATTTTCTGTTTTAAATGCTTTGCTCTAACAAGTACGTTTGAATCAAGGCATGTTTGTAAAATTGCTCATAGAAATAATAAAAATTCATTCTTATTTTAAGTTCAACACCAACCTGGGATGGCAAAACTTCAGAAACTTTTCAGAGGATCTGGGCACCCTACTCATAACTATTTTCTATAATTACTCATTTATGCTCTGTTGAATATATTTGTGTCTTATATAGCATGAAAGAAATTGGAACAATATAGTTGTATTATAGTGTGGATGGGAAAATATCGAAAGATACGAAAATGACTAAAAACAGCTTTCAGAGAATCAAGTAAAATATTTTGATTATGATTATGTCCGAATCAATTTTTGACCACAAATCATTCTCGAGAAATTTAAAAAACTATTATCGGTATGACAGATTATGACTCATATAAGACGAACGCTGTGAAGTCAAAAAATGCACTTCATATTTCTAGAATCAGACGAACACATTGATTTTTTATACGAGTTCCACCTAATCATTTTCACTCTATATCACCAGACCATGTATTAAAAGTTAAAATTTCTCAGTGATAAATAATATTCATAAAATTGTTATAAATTTTGTTGAATGAATGAATAGTGACTGTAAATTATAGAGAACAGCTTGAATGAATGTCATTTTACACGAATAAGTATACTTTCATATATGGCATGCGTTAAAGACCACGTGCTAGAGAGCAATCAAAGAACCTTTATATGCGTATGTGTATATACACGTCTTTTCCTTTTCTTTTTTTCTTTCTACATTTTTCATATAGCGATCACATTGTTGAGCTACGTCTTTCTTTGCCGTCCGTGACAATCCATTGAAATTTTCAATTTCTTGCTTTTTCTTCTAGTTTTTTATTTACCTATTGCACAGGGTTAGAAAGCAAATTTATTATATCGTCTTTTTTGGTGTCGTTCGCTTTGATTAGTTTCCATAGATATCATCAGTGTGCTTGTCTGAATATTCAAGTTCATATTTTCTAGTTTAGGTAGGTAACAACGATCGTTTGCTAAGTTTGAGATAATATCATCAATATTAGTATATACAGCTAACGACAAGAGCTACCCAAAATAGTAATTATTCAATCATCTGTTATGACTGGTTTTTGTTTGATTATCATGTATCTTTTAGATTAAAACAAATAATGACTTGTGTTTAAATCAATATATAAACATAAGGTAATATTATTGATAAAAATCATTTTCTTTTTTTTCTTTTTTTTATTTTTGTTATGATTAGATGAGTAACAAATATCATATGTTAGATAAATCTCACGGGCATGTTAAACTAACTACTACAATTACAAAAAGAATTAAAATATGTATTTTACATTTATTAAAAGGTTTATTAAATTCTCCTGTGATTTTTTTCAAATCGTCTTGTTCCATCATATATGTTACTCTTTTCATCATTGTTCTATTAATATTAAATGGTCAACCAAAAAGTATCTTTCCACCCAAAGCACATATTCCATGGTTAACTAATGTTCATCATGTTCAACCACTCGAATGTGTTGCAGATATGAATCAACCTGAATGGCCACGTCCTGTACTATCCAACGACAAGTCAGATATGAATTTAACTGTTGTTATTGTTTCAGCACGACCAGAATTTAAACGTTTACCAGTAACAATGGCTGCATTATTATCTCATCTTGATTTTCGACGTATTACTGAAGTTATGTTTCTTGTTCCACCACAAGATGTTCATCTTTTACAACCATATTTTTCATCTGAACAAGTAAAATCTTGGCCATGGAGAGTATCTGTTATATCTGATGATATACTTTTAAAACATATTCATACTGGTTCTTATCGTTTACAAATGATGTTTAAATTATTTGTTGCACAAATAGTAAAAACAGAACATTATCTGATACTTGATTCAGATTGTGTAGCTGTATGGCCAATACATGTTGAACAATTATTACATCAGAATAAAAATTCATCTTTATATCGAGCTATCAATCATGCTGAAGGTAGATCAAGCCATGAAAAATGGTGGTCAGAAAGTGAACGATTATTGCAAATTAAATTAGAATCATGCGTACCGTATGATAAATCCCATACAGATATACCAACAATAGGTGTTACACCAAGTATTTTATCACGTACAATTGCATTACGAACATTATGTCGATTACAAAAACTTTATGGTGATGAAAATTTTTTAAATAAAATGGCTAATTGGGCACTTTGGCGAGAAATATTTGGATATATGTGGACAGAATATACACTTTATTTTTTAACAGGACGTTGTACAAAAATATTTGATACATATCATACTGATAATAGTGCATTATCATCTTCCAATTCGATAGCAAGAGTGGAATTAACTGGTTTTAGTATATGGTCACATCTAGATTGGACAGTGAAAAATCAAAATAAATTAATTGAATCTATTAATAATGGATTAAGATGGCGTCAAAAAGAAATTGATGAAGCCGATGGTCAAGCGATTACTGATAAATCAACCAGTATGCATAATTTATTTACTGTTCTTCAAGGAAGACATAATGTTGATCCAAAACTATATCATCAGTATTTTTATCCATTATATATCAAATATTTACAACAACAAAAACAATCTGATGAATTAATACTAATACTTAATAATATGACTCGAAAGCTTGCAATTAATAAGCATTAAAAATTTTCATGTGATGTAAATATAATAAAAATAGAAATTATTTCATAAATGTTAATACATATAATATTTATTTTATATAAAATTAAATTTGAAAATTTAAAACATAGTACAAAAAATAATGATAAACGATAAAATATATTTCAGTCCTTCTACGAGTAAGTTATTTAGGTCAAATAATTTTCTCAGTGAATTGCTTGAACTTTTGAGACAACAGGTATAATCTGGTATTGATGATATTTCATCAACTAAGAAATTTCGATATACTGTTCGATCATATAATGGTTGTGGACCGCGATAATCTTCGAAATAGACATTACTTCGAAAACTTGTTAATTCATTTTCCATAAATATAGTTGGTACTTTAAATACTGTCCAAATAACACCTTCCGTACAAGGAGGTGTAGTTAATGATCCATCATAACGCCAAAAATTACCCACATTATTTCCCATCAATGATGATAAATTTAAACTTACTGTAGTAGCATTATTTATTACTTGTAAATATTCAGATACTCCGAAGTATTTTTGCCATTCTAATAATGTTGAGTTGTTGGTTTCGGAAATATCGCTTGTTTTTGTTGTATGTGTAATATTACTTGCAGATGTATTTGGAATACTTTCCATAAAAAAACCCAAAACAGCTAGTTTTAATGTTTCAATATTTCTATGAACAAAATGTATTTCACCGGCATACTTCATACCATTTCTAAATGGAAAAAATATGGTTGTATAGATTGAAAAATGAATGGAAATCTAGTTACACTTGATGTTCACTACCAGATTTATAGTTTTCACCCCAATGAAGATGAAACTGAAGAAACTCATATGTTCCATTTAGACCACCACCTGTCAATTTGTATGTTGTTGAGCTGTTACCAGTATATCTACCAACAATGGTATGTCCATTATTATGAAGAGTGAAATTATGTGTTAAATTATAACCGGATTGAAAAGAAAAAGGTGTAAATGATTGATAGTCAGTACATGCAGTTTGTATATTAATTGGTGATTGAGAATGTGCCGCACACGTTGGATATGTGTCACTCCAAACATCAGGTCCTAAATCATGATAATTCCATAATTCACACATTATTCCATTAATAATAGTCAATAGCAGAAGTATCGAAATGAATAACTGCATTGAAATATGATTAATTACTTTATTATTCGAATACTGAAACGATATAAAATATTGAATAACTGAAGCAAACAGGTAGAATATGTATAACTTATATTGATCGTATTTTACATAAATTATAATAGTAAATTTTTATACTCACAAATATTCACCCCCTCAAGATACTTCCGAATAGTTTAATTTGGTATTCAGAAAGCACATGTCAGCATCAATTAACTATTCACTTTTATTTCAATAGAAAGAAAAATATATGTTCCCTAATGAGTTCCGTCATTATAAATGTAGAACACACAACATATATATATAATTCGTCAGAACGTTTTTGGTACAGGTGAAGAAATACCTTTCGAAGCATATAAAAGATTCTTCTGTTCTTTATTTTCAGTAGGTAGTAGAAAGACGAAAACATACTTGAAGTATAATTTAAAGTTATTTCATGCGAAGTTTTTCATGACATATGACAGATTAATCAAGGCATACTGTAATTTGTACTGAATTGCTTAAGAACCTATCTTTTCAAAAAAATAAAATCATACAATAACAAGTTTTGCAAGTGCGTATAAACCTTTCTCACTTATTTATTCATTATATTCAAAAAACAGTAAAGAGAATGAATGTATACAATATCAGTTTATTAGCAGCATGTAAGAAATGTTTATTTGCCAAATTATTCATGTTGCCTATACAACAGAAATAATCAGTTATTGGTAAGATTGTTTCATGTAGAAAATTTCGATATACTGTTCGATTATATAATGGTTGTGGACCACGATAATTTTCGAAAGAAATCGTATGTCGAAAAATATTTATATTTATATCACTGAATACAATAGGTGTTTTAAACATTGTCCATTTAACATCTTCTGTACAAGGAGGTGTAGTTAATGATCCATCATAACGCCAAAAATTATTCAGATTACTTCCCATCAATGATGCTAAATTTAAATTCACTGTAGTAGCATTATTCATCACTCGTAAATATTCAGATACTGCAAAGTATTTTTGCCATTCTTCTGATGTTGAATTATTGGTTTTGTAGATATCTGTCGCTGTTGTTTTATGTATAATATTGCTTGTAGATGTGTTCGAAATACTTTCCATGAAAAAACCCAAAACAGCTAATTTTAATGTTTCAATATTTCTATGAACAAAATGTATTTCACCGGCATACTTCATACCATTTCTAAATACACAACTATGATTTTATAAACTGAAAAATTAATAGAAATGTAGTTACACTTGATGTTCACTACCCGATTTATAGTTTTCACCCCAATGAAGATGAAACTGAAGAAATTCGTATGTTCCATTTAGACCACCACCATTCAATCTGAGTGACATTGGATTGTTACCGATATATGTACCAACAATTGAATGCCCATTATTAAGAAGGGTAAAATTATGTGTTAAATTATAATCGGATTGAAAAGAAAAGGGTGCAAATGATTGATAATTGGTACATGCAGTTTGTATATTAATCGGTGATTGAGAACGACCATTACATAAGGAATCAATATCTCCCCACACATCGGGTCCTAAATTATTATAGTTCCAACTTTCCCCCGTCGTTGATCGAATATTTGTTAGTAATATCAAAATAAAAGTAAAGACTTGTAATTGAAGATACATTTTAGTATATATATTCATTCAGAGAATCTAACGACAAGAAAGAAAATAAATTTCTTACTATATTATCTATATAAGACACAGTTCGTATTTATTTTCATACAAATATATAATTTAATATATATTACACGGAATTTATGTATATACAAAAAATACAAATGCGAAATAACTCAGAAGTTTTAATCAGATTTAATGCTATTAGAAAAATAATAAAAAAGGTTTATCGAAACTCGTGTTTGAAATAGATGAGTATTCGTTTTATCTTTTGTTTGAATCGTAAAAAACATGATAACTTCAAATAACATATTACTATTAATCTATTAAATTATCTTATTAAAGAAAAAAGTCAAATATTTTTGATATCTCTAAATCGCATACATGCGTCATTTATTGTTCACTTTTCGAAGCATGATATACTTATAGATATAATTTTCAAGAGAAATAAGTAGTATTTATTTGGCAATATATTAGTAATTAAGTAAAGAATTTATTGAAGATCGTTTCTTTGTTGTTTTTTTAAATAATTTGTGTACCATAGATAAATGGAGTGGCCTTTTCAAACATGACTCAGTTACTTCCAGATCATTATCAAGATTCTTAATAAATCTTAATCTTCATATTCTCAGTAAATATTTTACTGCGAGTTCCGTTAAAATCAGTTATACCATTTCTACTATAGTTAAGATTCATAATCTTATCAGTGCATAAATAAGAGCTAAAGTATACTTAAAAGATAGTTATATCTTAAAATGACAATCTCTTTTTTTCTTTTATTCAATGTCTATTATAAGCATAAAAAAGAAATTTTTCTGTTGATCAGCTTTGTATCATCAACGATGTTTTTATTAAAACATATATGCAATATATTTTATAATCATGAATATCGATCCATTGTTTCTATTCTTAATACAAAGAAGATGTATTTTAGCTAATAAAATAGACAATATTCTCGAAACGAAAACATTTGGTCAGCGAGTCTTTAGATTGAATTATTAAACGGTATATTCCGATAGAGATCGCTCTTACCTTAACATCTTACATTACTCATAACGTTGATAAGCAAATATAGAAAGGTGAGATTGGTAGGAAGTAGCATATATGCTGCTTCCTTGCTCGTAACTCTATTTAAATGTAATAAAAAATAACAAAATTCTCATTTTATTCGTTTTTAATTGTACTATTCTCACTCAACATTAGCATAATTATGAGCTTTACAATTCCCAGTAATGAACTGATTACCGATGCGCTTGGTGATATTTCTCAAGTCTGTTATATAAATTTTTTTTATTATGAAGAATCGATTCTTATTGTAGTTACCAGATGATATGAAAATGGCAGTGACAAATAGAATTGAGAAGAGTTTTAAACCAATACCTCGACCTCGGAATGGTGACTGGTTAGCACAATATGAAGAAAGTGGACAAACTATGAAATCATTTCAGATAAATCTATCAAAGGCTGTTCCTCATGGAACGTAAGTAAAATATTTTGGTATTTGTTTATAATGTTCGAAATTTTATTTTTTATAATAGTCATAATACAATCTATATTCAGCCAATCGGCAGTTTTGATCATCCAAGGTAGAAATAACTTGATTTATATATAACAAAATTGTCAAACTGTTATTTTCAGAGCTCCACCAGTTGATGTGATTAATGAATTTGCTAGAGCATTTTTTTCTGGATGTGAAGTTGAATTATTACCAACTGTTGATTTTACTAATAATATGAAAAAACGAGATCGTGATGGACAACCTCAATATTTAACGGGTGATATACATCATTATCTTTGTCAAACACGTTCAAAACGTGACTCGCGACGTGAACTTTTATGTGTTGCTGTAACTATGGCTGATATTTATCCTGAAGAAGATTGGAATTTTGTTTATGGACAAGCTTGTTTTGTTGAGCATGTTGGTGTGTATTCATTTGCACGTCTTGATCCATTATTTTATCGAGCAACTGCTGAAGAAATTCATCGAACTCCATTAACTGAACAACATAGTATTATCATACTTCGACGTTGCATAAAAATTATATTACATGAAGTTGGTCATATATTTGGTTTATATCATTGTATATATTATCTTTGTTTAATGAATGGTTTCAATAATGAAACGGAAATGGATTGGAAACCTTTACATTTATGCCCTGTATGTTTGCATAAACTTTATTCAACACTTCAATTTGATATTCGACATTTATATGCAACATTTGCAAACCTATGCGATACATACGGACTTGAAAAAGAATGTAAATGGTATCGAAAACGTCTAGAATATCTTCAATAAATTTGTATTTATTTTTTGACTAAATTACTGTGATATCTAATTTAAATAATAAATATTATCTAAGCAAGAAAAAAAGAAAATAGAGTAGTTTTATCGTATTAGTCAATTTAAATGCCAAAATTCTTGTTCGAAATATGCACTATATAATTGAAGACTCTTGAGCAACAAGTTTTTAATTTGTTTGTAAAATTCAGTGTTTCATGCTCGGAAATACGCAATATTGAATTCATTATTTTTCAAACTATTTTTGAAGATATATACTCTATCAACATCAGTCGTGTATCCCAGACGTATTTGTTTATATTAGTCATTTTTGAAAGAAAAAGACTTAACAGAGAAATATTACGAATAAAGCTATTCAAAATTTTTTGTCTTACTTCGCTCTGCCATATTTATCGTATAGATTCAAGTGAGAAAATGTCAGGTGAGTAAAATAGAATGGGATTAAAGCAAATGATTTCTTTTAATGTTTTGATTCAAAACAAATTCGAATAGTTTATTCCCTTCATACACTATCAGAAATCTACTGATGGTTTTTCATTGACTTTAGTATTGTTTAGAATCTTTCTGGAGTATTCTTGACAAGAATTAATCTAGTTCTTTCCGATAATTTATACAAATATGACTGTATTAATGTTGGTATCATTCCATTTTGATTTGTATTTTTTCAAAATTTCTAATCCTTTTGACATAATATATTAGCAACAGCGACATCAATTACCGTGACTGTTTATATGAAAGGAGAATGGGAGGAATACATGGCGACATTGATGACGATATTTTATTTATCGTCTCTGTCGAGCTATAAAGGTAAAAACAAACGCATCAGTTATATAATCATTTACAAGGTTTGTTATCGTTCTAGAGAAGCAACATATTTCGTTATTTTTATTCTAAACAATTGTTATCAAGCTATTAAAAGCAGATATGGTTAAAATACATGTTGTTTATTGTGGTGCCTGAGGTTATGGGAGCAAGTTTCGAAAGTTCAGCGATGAACTAAAGAAAGCTTGCTCCGACAACAAACTCGAAATTGTAAGTTATAATTCTTCTTTTGATTATATTAATATTATTTAAATCATGAATAAATTCTAGTCCGGCGAGCCAACACCTGGCAAAAGCGGAGCTTTCGAGGTTACCGTCGACGAGAAATTAGTGCATTCGAAAAAAGACGGTGATGGTTTTCCTGATACAGAGGAAAAAATGAATAAGATCGTGAAAGCCGTCGAGGAAGCGGTCGAGAAAGCGGCCGAGGAAGCTAAATAATCGAATGACACTAATATAATACATAATTATAAGATGAGCAATGTTGGTAAGTTAACTTTTGAAAATTAATCAAAAAAATAACGAAACAAATAATTTATTTTCTTAGAATGTTATCTCAAGATAATTGATCGAAACTGTCGGCTACCCAAATGATATGTTGTGTGATCAAATTTACAAAGTCCACAATATTGAACCAGCCATTATCTATGATAGTTACATTTCAATTATTTATACGACATTACATTCACATTTCGGACTCCACTTCTTTTTTTTCTTTTCTAAAGTTCTATAAATTCATCAAAATAAAATATCCTTATGATGAACTAAGTATCTAATGAATATCATAATACGTATTTGTCGTTGTATGTTTGATTGGTAAACGTTTTTTCTTTAATTGATTACGAATAGTATTTAATTTTTCCATTTCATTACTATATGTTGAACGACGTACGAATGGATAGTGATGTTTTACATAGGAATTATGTGATTGATATCTATCGAATGGATAATGATCTTCAAGAAGTTCATTACGACGTCTAATAATATAAGTCATAAATAGAAAAAATTCAGTACCTATTTTGATCCCGTTGATAAAACCTAGATTAAAAGTTTCGGTTTAAGAAATACAAAATATCGGATAAAATTTTACGTTGACATATTTTTGCAGGTAACGAACTTTCACAATTACAAGGAATATTATAAGAATATTCTTTAAGATAATATTTTGATTTCGATTCTTTAATTTCATTTCTAACATTTTCTTCTCTGTCATTAACTATATATTGTTGTTTTAAAAAATCTTTTTCACGACGATATACATCAGTCATATCACGTGTATGTTGATCATTCAATAGTACATAAGGATAATCAGTTATAGTATTAGTTTGCAAGTTCGATATTTGTTGATTTTTTTCATCAATTTTATTATTCCTATGTGAACATTTATATTGAGGCGCATGTTGTTGATGTTGAATAGTTTGACTTATGATCTGTGGTGGGGATGATTGATCGTGATTATACGTGTTGGAATTCATTCTATTTCTATAAAGTAATTAAAAATAAACAATATATCCGATGAAAAGAAAAGCGCTCTCATCAACATTTCATAAACATAGAGAATTTCATCGATATGTATCAATTAGAATTTCACTGTATGTTTTCATAATCTTTAACTAATATTTGATTTTATAGACTAACTATCAATATATTATTCGAATGAAAATATAATATTTATCAAAATCTAATAACAAAACAAGTTCTCGTCTCATGAGATCAGAAGAGAACTTTTTGATTATAGCAATAACAACCAAAGAAGAAGAAAAAACACAATGTAGTATTATATCGAAATCTATATTTAATCATGACATAACCTTATAAATCATTTCTCGACAAACTTCATTTGCAAATATTCTAGTAATATCATGTCTAACAGAAAAGTTTAATATCACCGGTAAAATATATTCTGTCTCGTTTGAATATACCCTTCTGATGAAATGTCAGAATATAGTACTGCCATTGTCCTTTTATTCATCCGTTCATTTCATGACTTTAGAAATAATATCAAAGAATTTTTGTAGTGATATGGCAAGATTCCGGCGTGACTGATTGATTATAAATTTACATTTCAGTCATTCGATATCTTTCCATCTTACTCAATAATTAAACAATTTATTTAGACTAAAATATTTTAGTTTTTATTTTTATGATAAAATCAAGTTATAAACTAATTTTTTTTTGTTTCTAATATTTCTGTTTTTTTTTGTTCATTAAAAATTTCTTTAAAATCTAAAGAAGTTTTTCAACTGCATTGGCAATATGTTCGGCATCAATACCATATTTGCTTAATAATTCAGCTGGTTTACCACTACGTGCAACTTCTTGTACTGCTAAATGTGCAATTTTAATATCGGTTTGATCAGCTAATGCGGCCATAACAGCTTCACCAAGACCACCTTCAAGATAATGATCTTCAACAATAAGAAGACGACCATGTGTTGCATTAACTGATTTAAGAATTGTATCTCGATCAATAGGTTTAACTGTAAATAAATCAATAATACGAACAGCTTTACCAAGACCTTTAAGTTTTTCGGATGCTTTTACTGCTTCATGTAATGTAACACCACCAGCAACAATTGTACAAACATCAGCGGATGATTCAACAATAATCTTTACAAAATAAAAATAAAAATATTATATGTAAAATAATATTATCTTTTTTTCTTACTTTTGCTTTTCCAATTTGAAAAACTTCATCATTCTTATATAAAATTGGAAAATTTGGTCGACTTGTACGTATATAAACAGCTCCATCATAATTAGCTGCTAATTCAACAGCACGTTCAGCTGAAACGGCATCTGATGGATAAAAACAAACAATATGTGGAACTGTACGAAAGAAAGCAAAATCTTCAAGTGCCATCTGTGATGGACCATCTTCACCAATTGATACACCGGCATGTGAACCAATATATTTCACACGTGTAAATGATATAGCACCCATACGAATTTGATCAGCAGCACGTAAAAGAAAAGCGGCAAATGTATGAACAAATGAAATATAACGTTGACGTGTTGCAATTCCAATAGCAACTTGGACCATATTTTGTTCAGCAATATAACATTCAACAAAACGTTTTGGAAATGCATCCTATATATTAAATCAAATATTTAGTCTTAATCTTTTTTAGATATAATATCTTACACGAAATTTGATTGAATAAGTTGAATTTTTGGTATCACCATCTAATCCGATAACATATTCACAAGCTTTACCTAATTTTTCAAGGGCAGTACCATGTGCAAGACGTGTAGCTATTTCTTTTTTGCCATCATAGTTTGGTGGTGATGATAATTTAATTTCTTTATCCTTTTTAATTTCTGATACTTTAGCAACAATTTTTGGAATTTGTGGTCGAACAAATGTTTCTTCATTGACTAATTTTTTTAATGTAGCAAGAATTTCAGGTGCTTTATCACCTAATGGTTTACCATGCCAATCTAATTCATTCTCAATACCTTTAAAACCAGCACCTTTAAATGTTTTTGCTAAAATACATGTTGGTTTATCTTTTATTTCAGATGCTTCTTTAAATGCAGCAAGTAATTCATTAACATCTTGTCCATTGACAACAATTGCATGCCATCTAAAAGATATTTTTTATATGTAAAAACACAAGATTTAAGAGAAAAAATTTGATTTCGTTACCCAAAAGCATCAACACGTTTTTGATATGTTTCCATGTGATGTTGTAGTGGAGCTGGATCACTTTGTCCAAGTCGATTAACATCAATAATAGCACATAGATTGTCAAGTTTATAGAATGAAGCAAATGCGAATGATTCCCAAACACTACCTTCGGAAGTTTCACCTGACAAAAAAAAAGAAGAATATTATTTTCAATCTTGTACTACAAGAAAAAATACTAACCATCACCAAGTACACAATAAACACGATAATCAGATTTATCGAAATATTTTCCAGCATATGCCATACCACATGAAAAACCTAAACCTTGACCTAATGAACCGGTAGCTACATCAATAAAATTTAAACGCTAAGAAAAAAAAAGAAAATTTGTCATACAATAATCTATATTAATAGAAAGTACATACAGGTGTTGGATGACCTTCTAAATCAGAATCAATTTTTCGTAAATTCTTAAGATCAGCTACTGGAAAAGCACCGGCTTCAGCCCAAGCAGCATACAAAATTGGAGCACAATGACCCTAAAATATTTACAAAAAAATCATCTTCTAAGAAAAATTCAATCTATTTTATTTTACTTTTGAAAGAACAAATCGATCAGCAGCTGGATTACGTGGATCCTTTGGATCATAATGCATAACATTAAAAAATAATACACTTATAATTTCAGCCATTGATGCACAACTTGTTGGATGACTATTTAAAAAATAATAATTTAATTGATAATTAGAAAAATCTTTGGAACTAACCCAGAATTTGATTCTTGTGTTGATTCAATACTATGGATACGAAGCAAATTAGCCATACGTTCCAAACCTGTAACTGTATCTGTGCTCGACATTTTTGTTTGTAATGCAAATAATCTAAAATCTGAAAATGACAGTATGTAAACTTAAATAACATATTATATAAAATAGAAAGAATCGATATATACTGCTGCTTTCTTTTTCTTCTTTTCATTATTTAAAGTACCTAGAATAGAAGTAACGGTTATTATTGGATCTATAAAAACTGACAAATAAATAACTGCCACAAAAACCTGGCTGTATCTAGGGTTCGTTCGGTGCCGTACTTTTATTTCGATATGTAAAAGATTATATTTACATATAAGAACAACCTTTAACGAGGCGACAGACATTGAGTATTTCATTGGTTTTTTATTATTAAAACGTCATTAATAATAGATGGCGTCACTTTTCAAATTGTAATAAAAAAATAATTCCTTTAGTTCGTTTTACTAAGATATTTCAAATCATATATTCTATTTCAAATTTATTGTTAATTATTTCATTTTATAAATGGAAATTATTCAAAAATTGGTTTTCGACAATTCGGACATTCTAGAGATCTTTCTTCATCAGAATCGATCCAACCATGTATACATTCCGTATGAAATACATGTTTACATGGTAAAAGTGAACATTTATTTTCTTCTTCCATCGACGATAAACATATTGTACAATCTTCTATTACTTTAGGTTTAGAAGTTATATCCACACTACGAGTTTCAATATGTAATGGTAGTTGACTCAAATTAGATGTTTCATAAATATCACCAATATTGAACCATCGACTCGTATTCATTATTCTCCATTGACAACGATTGAACGCATATTTAAGAGCACGCACAGTACTTCCGCATTCAGGACATTTGAATGTATGCATAGAAGATATTGTAAATTGACCCATTTGTAAATTACCAATAACCATTTGATTGTGTGCTTTACATAGTCTATCGTGTGCTACACATCGACCTTCAAGGCATAATCCAGGATCTATAATTCTCCATGGAATAGGTTTGCCATGTAAAAATGATTTTGTCTTATTCATAGGTAATAAAAATATAACTTCTGTCACCTGTGTAGTTATGATTACTAATAAATGTGAAGAAAAAATAATATGAAAGTAAGTAATTGTATGTGAATCATAGTATACCCATCAATATTAAGATATAAATAGGGGTGGAAAAAAAACTATCATATTGAACTTATGACGAAATATTGGCAATTTTTTTGAATTACATCACTATTTTCAATTCATATATTTAAAATAAAATCAATAATGTTTGCTTACGAAATTTTCGCTATGGCTCATAATCACAATGAAAAAAAAATTAGTTTTATTGTAGTTTTAATCACGTGATTATCTTAGAAAATGAAATTAATTCTTATATAGTATAGATCAATTGACACAATTTTCTATTTGTTAATAATCAAATATTGACTATTTGATTTTCATTATTCTTTTGCCATATGTGTTGTATTACTCGAAATAATAGGAAAAAAAATAATCTATCAATAGTGAACTTTCGAGAGATAATTGTAACTGATGTCAATGACATTTTCGTTATAAAATAATACCGATTCATCTTCTTTTTTTTCTGTTTGTATTCATTTAAAACAATGCACTTTCTTCTATTAAATCTTCTACTA